GCACTTTACACAGAGCTTTGACAAATAAGGGTACATCTTGAACAAAGAGAGTGACGGTGAGAGTACTATAAATCACCTGATACGAAGAACAGGAAATTGGATGAAGCATGGAGCATGCTCTTCAATCACTTTATGAGAGCTCATACAGAAGAGAGATAAGACATTGCATATTGCTTCCAAGGGTAAAAGCAGCAGAAGCCTACAGGACAAATAGACTTAGGAGAACAGAAGGGAAATCTCTCCGAAAGAAAACAGGCACTGTTACAGAATGAGATTGTTGCTTGGCATTTTTTTTTTAAACAGGGCAGATACATCACAAGCCAGCTGAGAATGTAGAAAGATGCCTGTTTTACAAGAGATTGTAAAGAGAATGCCTTGGTATGATTTTATTTGCCATTCAAAATCTTGTAAATCTAAACACTCTAAACAGAAAAAAAAATGTTAAGCATTTTGTTTTCTTTTTCTAAAAGTTGACTCAAGCAATGACTCTGGTGACCAAATAAGTTATTGGGTTAATAAAGAAAACTAAAACACCCAAATAGCAATTCAAGGATTCTGACTGCGTAGACTACTTGCAGTGTCGGTGTGTCTTGTTCATTCATCAGTCTTCATAGAAATTAGAGGAAGACACTTTTATGGCTCCAGGTATTTACTCATACACGAGTCTATTTTCGTACCTGTGATTAGCAGCTTTCCACAGCCATGATCATGTACCACAGGCATCTGTTTTTCTCCATTCGGTTAGGAAAAACAACCTAGAGTGTGAAATATGCAGAGGTGGAAACTCCCCATATCAACCTTATGATTCAAGTTTCTCTAGCTAAAGCTAACCAGGAACCTCACAGTGTGAGTCCCTCAAAAGCTATATTGTCACTGGAATCAGTAGGATTTGAACTGCTTAGATGGCACATGTTAGCACACGTGTAGTGCCTTACGCACTAAACTAAACTGAGGGAAAGAAGTTAATTCATCCTTTGTCCTTTCTCATCAAGTCCTTCTATTTTCTTTTCTTTAACTTGGTTAACTCTCAACTGTACCATATAGTAGTAACACAGTTTTAAAAGTAGTTTTAGCAATATGGAATGTCAAAAATTTTGAAGCTTAATTTTCTAAATTCAAGGAGTAATGGCAAGCTTTGAGTTATAGCTTTGTCAACTGTCTAGAATGTGTGATAATCAAGCTTTCTTTAGCAGTAATATGACAATTTGGTAAAAATGTAACTTAGGGCCAGGTGTGGTGGCACACGCTTTTAATCCCAGCACTCGGTAGGCAGAGGCAGGAGGATCTCCGTGAGTTCAAGGCCAGCCTGGTCTATATAGTGAGTTCCAGGACAGCTGGGGCTACAGGGAGACACTGTCTCAAAAAGACCAAAAAAGAAAAAAATGTACCTTAGGAGTAGTATAGTATTTTTATTCATTTACTACTAATTTAGAAAATAGTAACACTTAGTGTTTCTCCACTCCAGATAGCACAGTCTTGTACAATTGTACTTTGCATTTCACTAAACTTAGTGAAACGATCAGAGCTGTGATAAGGGTTATGAACAGGAGAAAGTAATGATTTCATTAAACTAAGATTTGTGATTAGAGAAGCCTATGCTATGAATACATAGCTAAACTTGGAGTTGTTCTAGGAGGAGCCCAAGAGAGCAGATCATTAGGGTTTAACAAACAGCACACTTCTGGTCAAATCTGAGGTATCACCTGTCATAATAAACAAAAATGATTGGAACACAACAATGTCAATTACATATTGTTGGATGGTTGCTTTGTTGCTACAAGTTTGTTGAGTGATTGTATCTGAAATCATATACAACACTTATAGTACTTAATATCTCACCCTTGCAAAAGGATTTTGCTGATCTCTGCTTGCCCTGGACCCTCTAAAGACCTGGGAAACTGACCTTGAGAACTTTGGTAAATCCTTAGGAATTGGTTGTGAATGCATAACAGTCAACAAAATGTGCAACATAATTCGATGAGAAGAAAAAAATGCTACAGCCCAAAAGAGAATTCACCAAGACAAAAAAATGAATAAATAAAATTAGTGAGTGCTTACCAAATTCTTTCACTAGGTATGTATTTATAATGACTTCCCATTTGTTTACCATTCTGCCAGGCCAGGGGGACACAAATGGGAAGAGATGATCTTTTCTATCCTCCCAAAGCTTGGAGTAGAATTCACATAAACATGTATATAAAACCAATAAGTGAGTGCTATCAGTTAATTTGGTATGCTGTGAGAAATAAAAGCATTAAGCTAAGGTGGACATTTGCTAATTTTTTTCTGAATTCATTTCTTCCATTGCATAACAGCAATAGTAACCTTCTTCCTTTGAGGAACTACATCTCCTACACTCTAAACTTGGTCTCCTGAAAATGTTTGTAATTCCACCATCTCCCTACCCACAGGGGTGGGATTATGGCATGAGTCAGTAGGACTGGAGCAGCTTATGCTCCCAGGTACTTGGTAGATGCCAGTATAGATCCACTGCCAAGTCTACCTAACCACAAGCCACAAACATATATTTGATCATGAAGAGACAGAGAGAGAAGGAAAGTGGGAGGAATGCGAAGGGAGGCAGGAGAGAGGGAGGGAGAGCGAACAAGAGAGAGAGAGAGAGAGAGAGAGAGAGAGAGAGAGAGAGAGTTAAAATCCTGGATTCTATTGCCCCCAAGGCCAAAAGCAAACAGGAACTGATCAGAAAATGTTGTATTTCCCACATAGAAAATATGAGTATAAGTTACACAAGGTCTCCCTGTAGCCCCAGCTGTCCTGGAACTCACTATGTAGACCAGGCTGGCCTGGAACTCATAGATATCTGCCGGCCTCTGCCTCCAAGTGCTGGGATTAAAGCATGCACCACCACACCTGGCTTACATTGAACATTCTTTTAAAAGGGTGTTCTGCCACATATAACTGGGAACAAGTTTGTGTGTTTATGTGTGAGTACATGCATGTGAGTGTCCACATGTGCATGTGTGGGGGTTAGTTATGAAGGACAGGTAGGAGTGGGGTCTAGTACAATTCCAAGCATCAGCTGAATGATACTGCTCTTTGATATGCCACTGTCAGATCTGACTTAGATACTAAAGATCATATGCATACACATGAAATTCATTGCTATACATTAAAAAAAAAAACAATATTCAGGGCCAGTAAAAGGGCTCAGTGGGTAAGGGTGCTGTCCTTAAGACGGATCACCTGAGTTTGATCCTTAGGACTCACATGGTAGAAGGAGAGAATCAATTTTCCCTGATCTCCACATGTGTACTGTGGCATGCCTGTGTGTAAGTGTGTTTTGCACACACACACACACACACACACACACACACATAAAATAAATAATGAAAAACACAACCAAAAATAATATTCAGATGGCACTGTCATGAGAATATATTACGTCCTGCCTTAAAAATTTTTTGCTGAGAATAGAATTAAAGCAAAGAAACAAAGTTGGAGGAGTTGAGTCATAAAATGAATAAAAAACGACTAAGTGTTTTCCATAATTTTGGGTCACTTTGACTTTTAAAACATGTACATGAATACTTTATGTATTTAAAACTAAGATAAATGTTTGCAAATATGTTTTCCTTCTCAGAGGGAAGTGATTCTCCTCTCAAGAATCCCAAAATGATTTTTTTTTTTTTGGTCTTTTTGAGACAGGGTCTCCCTGGTCTCTAGCTGGCCTGTAATTACCTGTAATGTAGACCAGGTTGGTATCTATCTCACAGCGATCCACCTGCTTCTGCCTCCTGAATGCTGGAACTAAAGGCATGTGCCACCACACCTGGCTTGATCTTAATTCTTAATCCACTTAATCTCACCTCTGCTGCCAATCATTCTAACATCATGCCCAATGACAGACCGGATACTAAATTCAATTAGAAATCCATTTTGCTTTTTACCTTCCCTGGCATGTATCTTCCCACTATTATTTATGCTGTCGTTTTACAGACCCTGGGACTCTGAGGTGACTGAAGGTTCGTATGTGTGCTGTCCTCCCTCAGTCCTCTTGCCTAGTCTCCTTGTGGACAAATTCTCCAGTATGTACCACTCGATATTGGGATTCCCAAGCTAGAATCCAGATCCTTTTCTTGTTCTGTACAAATCCAGGTTTATCAAACTCATCCCTGCCACGTCACTAATTACCAATATATTGACAGCTACAATTTAGTATCTTTATTTCAGAGTACTGTTGTGAATTACATAAATATTTTCAACATTTTTTGCTGCTGATCTTAAATGCACCCCAATTTAACATACAAATCAAGTACTTGTAAAGTTCAGCCCTCCTCTCCCTCATGCTGTAAGATGAATTCTTAACATAGCTCCTGAACCAGCATGGCTAAACCAGGTATCTGGAGGTAATTTTCTTCTCTACTCTTCACTCCTAGCATTCCATCTGTTGAAAATCCTGTGAGTTCATTATAATGTTCCCCAAAGTATGTTCTCCCAGCTTTTAGCAGCTGTATGGTCTGGAAAAAAATGTCAGAAATACAGATTTTCAGATCTGGGATGTGGCACATGCTTGCTGGGAAGCAGTTGGGATACTGAGGCAGAAGGACTGTCATGAGTTTAGAGCCAGTGTTATAAGGGCTTCCTTTAGGGCTGTTGGTTAGACCAGTAAAGATAGCATAGAAATTCATTGATTCTTCCATTAGCAATTATCTAGTTAGCACTGACTGTATAGTATAGATAATATTAGGTTCTAGGAATTCAGAACCATTAGGGTTCAGGAGCTTGCCTATACAAGGTTTTTCACCTTAATTGAATATTTGTCTGGTAAATGGCTATTAATACCTAAGTACATAGTGTTCTGTGGGAAATAAGCAAATTTGTGGATAAGGAGGGGAAGAATTTTTATACAGCAGGAAGGAAAGAAAGGATCAGATAACTGAATGGCAAAGTAATAAAGGCAGAGAAGAAAACAGGCAGAAGTGTCCTGAGGTACGTAAAAACCCCAGGCTAGTGATGAACCACTTCCACATCAGCGAGGCTGCTAAGGAGCAACAGCAGGATCCCGGCTGGAAATGAGCCTGGAAAGAGCAGAGTCCAGATCACAGAGGCATACTAAGGAATGAAAAGCTGTTTGGCTTTTATCCTAAAGACAACAGATAGATCATTCTAGCTATTCTTCAAAAGAAGAGTCATGAAGAGAAGATATAAACGGTTCTATTGAAATTCAAGGTCAGAGAACATAAACTATGCTTATTTTCTTCGTGGGGGAGGGGCTCAGCGTATCCATTCGGCGACTAAGAGTGGAGGTTAGATTACTTCTTATCAATACTTTCACCACTGAAGTTAAATGTTTCTTCAAACGTATTTTTCTTTCCTTGCTGTTGTTTGTTTGTTTTTAAATCTATGATCTCTATCATCCAGACAATCAATTATTAATGGTTTTCAGTTCCTTTTGGCTTGGACATCTCAATCACATATTGCTTTAATTTATATTATATTTTAAGCTTGATTTAGCCGCTCTGTTGTTCTCTTTCACTTATTTAAATGTGTGCCTGCTCAGCAGGCAGGTGGCTATATTTATCAAGCCTCCCCCTGGCCTTCCTAAAAATAAATAAATAAAAAGCTTTTATATGATGGGAAAATAAATTGCATAAATTTACTAGATCAAGCATTTGCCTCCTATAAAATTTCCTTTTAAGGCCTCTTTATCTACTTTTTAGCTACATTCTTTGTTGCCAGGAAGGGGCACAGAGAGACAGAGATAGACCTCTCAGTTGGTGTAATAATCAAAGCTCTAGATTACTGTGCAACACAAGATTTTTCTGACAGAAGCCTACTAAATGGGTGTGGTGGCACATGCCTTTAAACACAAACTCAGAAGGCAGAGGCAGACAGATCTCTGTGAGATCGAGGCCAGCCTAGTCCACATAGTGAGTTCTAGGCCGGCTAGGGCTACAGGAGACCCAGTCTAAAAAAGAAATTTAAAAAAGGAAGCTAATTAGATGCTTAATGACTACACATTCACACATGAGCAGATCTCTAGTTTCAATTCACTGCAACCCACTGGCAAAACAATCATAAAGTACCACCTTCTACAAAGAGGCACCCCCAATAAACATTTTCTAACTCACTTGCGGTAGCTTCAGCTGTTAGCCTTATTTCCAGTTCAGGAAATGTTTTCCAATGCAAGGAAAAAATAAAGACATTTTTAACTACTCTTTTAAAAAGAAGCCTTGCTTTTAAGCTTTGTTCTGCTCCTGATGTCAAAACAGATTACCCAACTAATCAGGGCCCTAAGGTCTCAGTCAGAGCCACAGCTTTCCTGAAGCCTTTACCTTGACCTTATTTACAATCAGCCCTGTCTATGAATACATTTCAATTGTCAGCTCGGCTAATTCCTAGCTTAATTTCTCTTCTCCTAGCAAAATGATCTTTCCTTAAAGTTTCATACAGCCAATATACCATTGGGATAAGTTCCCCAATATCTGTGGGCTGCATGTGAGGGGTTTGAAGCCCATCCTAAGTATAAATTTTGGGAAGTTATTTTACCTCTCTGGGCCATTGTTGCTGGATTAAAATACAGGATACTCAGGTGTATTTGGATTTCAAATTAGCAATGAATATGTTTTAGTAGAGATTTATCCCATGTCCTATTTGGCCAGACCAAATTTGCAAACACAAGTTTAAGCCTCAGGTTTTTTAAGTTCATAATGTACAGCTGAGCAGAGGAATTATGAAGTTTGAATTTGTTCAGTTGAAGCATTGCCATTATGGTGCTTTGCCATATGGTGAGTTATTGCCAGTGCTAAACTCCTATGTGCTATTATCTTGTTTTCTGACGAAAAAAGACCTTATCACAGTAATATCTGTATTGAGCTCCCCATGTGTTTGACAAGGGGCATCATAAAGCTGTAAGTGTCAAAATTAGGAGTCAAACCAAGCAGCTATAGTCTCCTAACACTGCTGCAATCGGATGACTCAAACTTACAGACTCATAAAACAGAAATATATTTCTGCCAGTTCTGGAGGCTGGAAGACCAAGACAAGTATTCCAACATGGTTAGCTCCACCTGAAACCTTTCACTTTAACTTCTTGTTGGCTGCAGTCTCACTGGTTCTCATGTGGGTTTTTCTCAGTGTGCTCACGTGCTCAGATCCCACTCATCTTTTCCTCTACTAACAAGAGCACCAGGTGTATTGGATTAGAACCCAGCCTTAAGAACTCACATGCCCTCAGTTACCTCTTTAAAGGGCCTATCTCTAAATAGTCCTTGTGTGGACTGGGGCTTCCACATATGAATATGAGAGTAGCACACTTGAGTCCATGATACTAGGCTGTCCCGTTTCTAACACTATCCATACTGTTAGCCATGCTACTTTCCTGAGAATACTTTAAAGGTTCTGTTGTTGGTATTGCTAATTATGAAAGAAATGTGACATACACTAATGGGCATATTTATTAACATCAGTAACCAATCTTTGAAGTAACAGACTTTAAAAAGAAACAATTTACATATTTAATAATAACATACTTGGTTGCATTGCAATATCAATACAGCTTCTAATCAAGAGGAAAGGATTCATTATTAAAAGAAATAGCAGAGCTAATGAAATAACCAATTGCATGTGTCAAGAAATATTTGGAATTCAGACTCTATTCCATATGTGTATGGGGAGGAGACAGTGATAAAATATGCAAATTCCTTCATCTTAAAACTTTAAAATGCAGATGTAAGCAGCACCTTCCTGGTCAAATCAACCTCGACATGTACCTACAAATGCCAGGTTAGAAACTAGCAGTTGATTATGCTGAATGACTCAATGGATGATTCATGAACAACTGCTTACTCCTAGAATAAGGTGGACTCTGACACAGTCTGGTTTGTAGGCATTAAGCAGCAGCAGGGACCTAGTAACAGAAGCTCTAGGGTAGCAGCTGGAGAAGAGATCTGTAAGAAAATTTTTTAAAAAATCTTTCAACACTTAGTGAATGTAGGTAGAGAGAGTTTAATATGGACATCACTAAAAATGATTTGAGCTTCAATATTGGTTTTTAAAAACACAGTCTGTACAGTGGTATTTTTATAGTCAGTGTCAAGCACAGTCGTTTTTAGTTACAGCTTGCATAACAGTTCAAGATAAATCAAAGTGAACTGTTCGCAAGGAAAAAAATAGCACAGATTTTTCTAATACTGTAATCATTGCTTTGACCAAAGGCTACTTTGTACTGTGTCTACATAACACTCATTTAACAAATATTTATTAAGTGTTGATTATTTGCCAAATACCATTCAAGATTCTTGGAATATATCAATGAATGAAGCACATTCTGTATTCACTGTGCCTATAGCATCACCCGGGGAGAGAAGTACCACTAACGTGGGATTTTAGAGCTGAAGGACAGAGCAACTACATTCACTGGATTCTGGAAAAGAGGTCTGGATCAATGCTCATCCTACCTGAAGAAAATCAAGGTCAGTTTTCCAGCAGTAAGATGTCTAAGGTAATCTCAGAGTAATAGACAGCCACTCCAAGTTGGCAGGAAGAACCTCCAGGACAAGGGCTGTTCTGCACATGGAAGGTCCACGTGTGGCCAGATGTGAAGCTGCTTAGAACGGCACAACAGAATGGGAATGAGGCTGAAAAAGATATTAAGGAAATTTGTATGTACTGAAGGAGAACTTAAAGTTTATCCTGAAGGAAAAAAAAAAAAACAGATTTCTAATGATTTGAACAATGGAAGTGTTATGTATATTGCAGTTTTTAGCTGTATTATATTTTGAGAAAAATTCACTCTGGGTGTTAATTCTAGCCTGCATTGTATGAAAATCTAGGTATGATAGGAAGACCAGTTAAGGCTGTCAGCATATTTTAGGCACAAGATCATCTTAGCCTGGGCAAAAGTATAAAGTAAACCAATGTGTAGCATTATGAAGGGATAATCTTGACCGAATTACTGAGTAGGTGAGATAGGGAAAGTAATGTAGTGAATGGACTGAGGCCCCTAGGATTCTGAATTACACAATGGACTGAAAGAATGAGTTAGTGGTATTTGTGGTATCTTACTATATTTTTTAAATTCAAATATGCATGATCTCAGTTTATATGGATGGCTATAATAGAATACAATAATCTCTATAGCTTAAATAACAGACATTTGTTTCTTTCAGTTCTGATGGGTGGGGAGTTCATACTCAAACCACTGGCAAATTTGGTATCTGGTGAGGGTCTGTTTTCTGGTCCACAGATGGTTATCTTTTTGTGTACTCTTATATCACAGAAGGGATGGGGAGCTCTATAGGCCTTCCATTAAAATGGAATTGATCCCATTTGTGAGACCTATATCTTCACATACCAATGAGTTTCCAAAGGCCCAACCAAATACCATTACCTTGGGAGTGAGGTTTCAAATATATGAGTGGGGGACACATTCAGTCCCTAAGTCTTCCAAATTCATGTCCTACTCACCTGCAAAATACATGCTTCTCATACCATCCTCATTAAAGTCTTAACTTAGTCCATATTAACTCAAAAGTGGGAAGTCCAATATCTATATAAATCATTTATGGAGGACATTCACAATATAATTCCTGCTGGTGCTAATCCCTCTCTGTTTGCAAACCTGTGAAACCAAATGAGTTTTTTGCTTCCTAAGTATGAATGCCTGATAGGACAGAACATTGTGATTATAAAAGGAAAAAGGAAGAAGAGGGTATCAGACTCCAAATAAGCCCCAAATCTCATAGAGTAACCGACCTTTCCTCCAACTCTATTGCAGCAAAAGGCCTGTGTCTAGACACATTGAGCAAGAATCACTTAAGTAGTGGGTCCGGTCCTTGCAGCTTTTCAAGTCAGAAACCGAGCCTTCAGATTTGTGGTTGGTCCTGTCCACATGGCTATGGGAGACTCCATCTCAAATGGTATCATCTGGCATTGCCCTTGTAGGGCCTTTAGGTGCCTCTGCCCTCATCAAGGCTCTCTGCAGTGATCTTGCCCAGTAGTAACCATCTGCTTAGTCTCCAAGCCCATGGGTATCATGGCCTATGGTTTTTCTGGGCATCTTTTTAAATCTAGAGTCCAATCATGGCTTTTCTGAGGACAGTTTACATCACATCAGGATCTTTTGGAGCCATACTTGGGAAGTATGGGAACTATGATACTAGAATAGGAGGAGTGGAACTTGTATTGTGAAGCAAACCCTAGCAGTGAGCACTACAGTCCCTGGGTGACAATGGTCTCTCTCTTGAAACTTCTTTATCTCCGGAGTCCTTATAGTACGGGTTTATGTTGGAAGTGGTAAACAGAATAAGTCTGAATCACATTAGCAGGAAAAAAAAAGACTTATTCTTTCAATCTCCAAGCATTTGTAAAGACAGTTGAGTAATATCTCCAATATCTTGATTAATAATATTTGTCTTTTATAGACATCGTTAACCCATCCTAATCTTATCTCATAGTCATTTGGAAAAGCTTGTAGCATTCTAACTAGATTTTCTCATTCTAGCCAATACTGATGTCTGAGAATTTTCTATATCTTTAAGATATGTTTCCTTTTGGTTAAGAATTCCATCTTCAAAACATTTGTCTATCTAGTATTGTACAATATGCCATCAAGAGGAACCAGACTTATCCTTCAACACTTGGCTTAGATAGCTCCTTATCCAAATACTCAGTTTTATTATTTTTAAGTTCTACCTTGAACAAAGTGTTAGAACATGCACAATTCAACCAAGTTCTTGACAAGGATGGCATTTCCTCCACTGCCCCATAATATGTTTTTCATTTCCTACTGAGATCACAGTTGAAGACTTTCCATATTTCTATAAACACTTTGCTCAGGATTACTAAGTATTCCCTATGATTTAAGCTGTTTCCATAACTCTCATCTTTTATTTTACAGACCAAAACCAAATTGACCTTTGACAGTCCTCATGGCAATATAGATTTTCCCTAGCAGGTACTTCAAAGTCCTCCATCCTCTACCCATCAACCAACTCAAAAGCCACTTCTAGTTCAGGTAATTATTACAAAAGCACTTTGTTCCTGGTTTCAATTTTCTTTCTTTCTGTTTGGAAAACTATAAGAAAATATCATATATTAGTTGTTTGTAAACCATATAAATTAATTCTCATAGTTCTGGAAGCTAAGACACCAAAAGTCAAGATGTAGGCAAATTTTGTGTCTAGGGAGGACTCTGTTCCTAGGTTATGTATAGTTATCTTTTCATTATCTTCATTCCCTAAGAATTCATTTTCCCCATATGAAACCCCATTCATGAGGGCTCTCTAGTTATGATCTAATTATTTCCTAAAGGCTACACTCTCAAATTACATCACACTAACACCTAGCTCTAAACAAATGAATTTTATTTTATGATTGATTTTTTGAGAATTTTATACATGAGTACTGTATTTATATCATTTCTACCCTCTTCTCCCCTCCAACTCCTTCCATGCCTCCCAAGTCCTTCTCAATTTCATGACATATATATATATATATATATATATATATATATATATATATATGGGGTAGGTAACCTACTGAGTCCATTTACTTCAAAAATGAATTTTAATGAAACATAACCAGTCAGCCCATATTACTGAAAATATTGGACATAATGGTAAGAAAATTCAGATAAACTCCTATTGTTCACAATCCACTGTTTTCACTATTTGAGTGAAATAACCTAGGAGGTAATTTGTTCACTGAAAAAGTTTGTTCATTATGAGTACATGTGTGTTATTTGATATCACAGGAGAATATGAAATTATATACAAAAAATGTTAAACAGGGAAGAAAGTATGTTTAATATTTTGAAAAAAAATCATGTGAGAAACAATAAGTGTTTTCTGAATGCTGAGACATGGCAATATGCATAGGAAGAAGAGCAAAAGAGAATATCAGCTGTGTGTCCCACATGTCACTGCCTGCTTGCTCAGATCATGGAAAAGGTCAGTTCAGGCTACTGTATTGCAATGGAGGAACTGGTACCAGCCTGCTTTATTTATCTCTTTCAACTGAGTTTTTTCAACATTGGGTTGTAAGAAGAGTGGTGACAAGAAAATCACTAGAATGAATTCCTTCTCATGGTAAGAGAAAGAGGAATGGTTTTACTTCCCTCAAAAGAAAACCGAATTCCAGCCCAACATAAATCTACATAACTCAGTGAATATTTGCAAAAAAGTGCTGCAGAAATTGGAAACATTTTATAATATTTTGGTTTTTTTTTTTTTTTTTTTTTGAGATAGGGTCTCTGTAGTCTACGTAGGCTGGCTGGGAGGGAACTTAACATTCTGCCTGAGCATCCCAAGATTTAGGATTATAGGTATAAACTGCCATACCCAGATAATGTCTTTAATATTTTATCATATTTTAGTATTTTCTATTTCTACCTGAGATGTTTTGGAACAAAGATTCTTAGAGCCATGATAACAATGTTAATGCAAAATTTTATTGAATGCTAAGTGCCAGACGATGTGGCCTTCATGCATTTACTAGTCCAATCATCACAAAAAATCTTTTAAGATTATATAATGCTTGGCAACTGAGATTTGGATAGATTGAGTAACTTGTCAGAAGTCATATGTAATTATACTTGTAGAGACTGGGTTGGAAAGAAGATATTCTTGAGTCTAAACATGAGTTCTAAGTGGGTTTGTTCTGTGACAGTATCTCCATCAGCTGAAGAGCTTTAATTTTATTTTTCAGTTGGAAGGTCTGTGTTATATGCGGGATCAATTTTAATTTTGTTGTGAAAATAAGGAGCAATTTGCTACAATCTATTCATTAAAATTATATAATCCCTTCATCTTGATAAATAGGTAACTTTCGTAAGAGTGAAAACAAATTCACACAGCATTTCCCTCCTGTGATTTTTTTAAAAAGAGATAACTGATTTGTTTAAAAAAATTTTAAAAATCTGGGCATGGTGGTGCATGCCTTTAATCCCAGCACTTGGGAGGCAGAGGCAGGCAGATCTCTGTAAGTTCAAGGCCAGCCTGGTCTACATAGTGAGTTCCAGGACAGTTGGAGCTACAGGGAGACCCTGTCCCAAAAAGACCAAAAAAAAAAAAAAAAATTCTTCACCAATAAGTTTGTGTTGTTAATGTCAATCACTTCTGAATGGATGGAGCTAGACAGTGTCTGCTAGAATGGTGTTTCCTTTCATATAAAAGAGGCAATCATGGATGAAAACCCATTTTGTTAAAAACAGCCAGTGTTCCACTGTCTGGGTTCTATTTATGGGCAATATCTGTACTTTCTTTGCTTTCATCAAATTATATAGATCTTTCTCACATATTTGTAATCACCTACCTGTCTTGGTGGAAAACTTCTAGCATAATCACCTTCCTCCAAGTTCTAGTAAAGCCTGCTCCTGGAAAGATCCAGCTGTTTTCATTTGTCACAGATTAATTTTATCTTTCCTCTCCCAAAGAAAATGATATGCTGATTTCCTAACCTCTAGTATCTCAAAATATGACTGATCTTATTTATGAAATAGGTTCATTGCAAATGTAACTTCCTGAATTAAAATGAGACATTATTAGCATGGGTAGAGTCATAATTCAATGCAACTGGTGTCATTATAAGAAAATGATCTTGTGAAGATCATAAGACATTAAAAAGGCAAGGATTAGAATGCCAAAGATTGCCAGAAAAACACCAGAAGCATCTTAGTTTGTTAAGGCATCTATAAAGCAAATACCTGAGTGTGAACAGTTCATATAAACATAACATTACTCGCTCACAAATCTGGAGCCAACGTGCCAGCACATTTGGTACATGGTTAGGATGCTAATTTGGTTTAGAAATTGCCACCTTCAGTTCCCAAAGTCCCAACTTCCAGTATTATAACATTGGAGATTAGGTCGTTACATGACTTTTGAGTGGACACAGATCTAAAAGATCATAGCAGGAGGCTGTGTGAAAGACATGAAGGAGCTTCTTTTGAGGTAGAAGGGCAGCCCTGTTGATACTTTGGCTTGGGAGTTTTAGCCTCTAGAACTGATAAGTAGTAAATAAATATTTACTATTTTAACTAATGCATTGTACTTTGTCAAAATAGCTTTAGTAAATGAAGTTTTTTCTCTGTGTTTGGCCTCACAGTGAATTTTGCTTTGGGGAGGACTCTTGGAGGTTTGTACACTTTTTATTTTTAATTTTTATTTTCAGTATTTGAGTTTGCCTTACTGTGCAGCTCAGGCTGTACTAGAATTTGCTATGTAGCTAGCCTGTGTTGGCTTGGAATTTTCAACCCCCCTGCCCAGTGCTGAGATTATCATACTCCAGAGTGCTCAGATTCAGTTATGCACCCCTATGACTGGCATGGATCTCTAGAATTAATACAATCATTTAAAAATGGCCAAGAGAGAAGAGGCACTTAGGTCATGCAGTAAAGTCTCTTGTCATGAAAAGATTTCTTTTGGAAGTATTCTTGACAGATGATCATATGGCCTCTGCTTAAATTACTAATAACACAATATACCTGGATAGACATAAGATATGGAAGATATAATCATCCCTATCCTGAGAGAATTTGTAGTTTATACTGGAAAAAATATTTGCTAGTGAGTGCTTAGAATTAAAATTCTAAGTCTATTAAAATAAGATTCTTTATGATACATGCTTAAAAGAAAACAGCTCTAAATTTTTAAAACTAAAATAACAGGAATTAACTCCTATATCAGAGTATTTCATTAATGTGTCTAATCTTAGAAGCAGTTTGACTGAAAACTCAACATATGTGATCAAAATTAATATCTGATAGAAGTGCATGCTTGTCATCCCAGTATTCAGGGGGATGAGGTAGGAGAATTTCTATGAGTTCAGTATTGAGCCCAAATCTTTAATAGCTAAGCCATCTCTTTAAACAGGGAAGTTTCACATATGAACTCACAATGCTTCTGATAGCATACACAAGACATGTGCAAGGCCAAGCCAGAACAAAAACCAGCATAGTTGGGGGAGGTGGGCAAGAAGCCCCAGCCACAGTGGAGGATGTATTGGCAACTGATAGCTGCTGGGATAGGGAGAGTCAGTTTTCTTTAAGGATGTGATGCCTGATAGGTTGACTAGGGATCAACCCACACCCAAGACCATTTGTAGAATACAGATTAAACTTGATAGTCCATTAAAAAAAGAAAAATAATAATAAGGGACATGATCAGTGGAGAAAGTAGTAAAGGTAGGTGTGGAGATGGGGGAGGGGATCTAAATGTGTTCAAAATACATTGAGATTCTCAAGGAACCATTTTTTAAAATATTTTCTTTATTATTTTTATTTTATGTGTATGTGTATATTGCCTACATGTATGTAAGTGCACCCATGTCATACAATGCATGTGGAGGATAGAAGAAGCTGTCGGATCCCCTGGAACTAGAGTTACAGACAGTTGTTAGCTGCCATGTGGGTGCTGGGATTCGAACCGGGGTCTTCTGCGAGAAGAGTCAGTGTTCTTAACCACTGAGCCATCTCTCCAGCCCCCAATAAAATATTTTTTAAAACAGAATTCAGTTTGGGATGCATTAATTTTATGGTACTTAAATATACTCGCATGAACATATTTTTAATGAATTCTGAAAAAAATACATGCATGACATTCCCAAGACATCAAGATATTGAAATGGTGATTTCTTGCCCACACTTAGCTTTAGTAAAAGGATGGTAAGTTTTGTATGGCTCTCTAATTTATCCTTCACATCAAAATATAAAAATAAATTCCACTTAAACTACTTCACTGAAAAGACCCCCAAGTCCACTGTGCCTTCTACACATTTGTCTCTTGTGCCATTCTCTGGTTTTAGGCCCCAAGCTCCTTGAAATAAGGACTTTGTCATTAATTTAGCACAGCTGAATATATTACATGGTGCCATGTGTATTTATAGAACTTTGCTAAGTAATGATGATTCAGATTTGGTAATCAGCACTTGCAACCATCATGTGGTTATGCAGATCAACACTTACTATGCAAAAAAAATCATTTCTATAGGGGCAGATGTG